ATATATATATATATATATATATATATATATATATATATATATTTGTAGGTTATAGGGAAAGGATAAATATTGTGCGGTCTCAGAGGTCAATCAAGCAGTCTGCTCTTCTTAGGTCGTTTTGAAACTTGTTTTTCATTCCCAAGACCACTGTCTTATGACAGTCCTCCCATCACTCGAGTGATCATTCGTAAATTTGAGTTTTCTTGTTGACCTAAATTGCCCTTATTCTGAACCTATAAACAGTGAGTGTGTTTCCCAATCTAAGGTATCTATTTTGTGAGCTGAAATCTTGTCTCTTACACCTTAGAGATCACACCACAAACCTAGATCTCTAAACCTAAGGCTACCATCTAATGAGTCGTTTGCAACCTCACAACTTGGTGAAGTAAAGACCAGATCCAATGGAGTGTGCATACTAAGGATCATTGGTGTGACCAAGGTTGTTCGACGCCTATATCATTCATTGCGGTGGTGAATCCTAGTGAAGCTACAAAAGACATCGGAGCGGCACTTTGGTAGAGAGGCTTATTGAAGGAATGAAACATCTAACTATGATATTGGTTGAGATATAAGACTCGAGTACTTGGAAGCTGACTTTGCAGTAGTAGATTAGGTTTTGGTGAACCAAGAAGGTTTCTTGTAATTTTCCCTGAGGAGGTTTGCCACGTCAATAAATTGCTTGTGTTCTTTATCATATTTTCATACACACTTGCAATTTGAGGACACATATGCACAATGTGTTTGATTGAATAAATGTTTGAATATCATAATCATCCATAGTTGTGCATTCAAGGGTTTGGGTCCTTGGGTTGAGATCTTTGTGAGAGATTGAGTATTAAGTGATTAATTGACAAAATTAATACACTAATTTTTATGGGTTCATGGAGATGATGTGGTTAAAAGGGGGTTCCTACCATTAATTGATAATCTTTGTTAGAAGAGATAATTGTGGTAGTAATAAGTTTTAATTTGTGATTGTTTAAGAGAAAAGATTAAAAAATCATTCACGCCTCTCTAGGTAGTGTCGTGCGCTACACATGTGTAATCGTAAGGGAATAATCATATATATCTCCCACTTTTGGAGCAACATATACAATCACTGTCAATAATACATGAATCTATCCGACTGCGCATTGATCTGCGTTTAACTAATGCACGTGCTTTTTGGTGATTGCATGCATTCAATATTTCATTACAGCCATGAGACCAAAAATGTATGATTGAAGTGTCGCGAACTGCCAAAAAAGCAAAAATACAAATTTAAGTAGATATTTCAAGAAGGTCTTATTGGTTGTTGAAGTTCAAATGAAGAATATATCTTCATCTTATTAATAGCATTAGTGGTAGTCTAACATCTTATTCATGTCATTATTTTCTTAAGAAATTTCTGAACCATCGGACAGAAAGTTTTGGGTATCTTTTCAAGTTATCTTTGTAATCTATGTAGTTGAGGCCAAAACGAATCGTGTATCCCGAATTCCATTCAAAGTTGTCCATCAATGCCCATGCAAAATATCCCTTCACTCTAACACCATCCCTATTCATGATGCATAAGTGAAAAGAGTCACATATAGTCATCTTAAATAAGTCTTCAACAAAGAAACAAATGAATTTCATCATCTTAAACAATTCTTCAACAAAGAAACAAATGAATTTCAACTCGTATAATTTCATAATTGAATGTTGGTGCTAGAAAGTTTTTCTTTGTAGTTTACCTGATTGCTCTTTGAAGTTGGTTAAGATGGTGAAAGTAATATTCTACTCTCATGTTGTCTTCAAGGGCTTCCTCAAGAGATAATGTCGCATCATTTATTTCATCCATGCCTACACGCACACACAGATGTCAATACTCAATGCTTAATCGTTTTTAATATCAAAATTTAAAATGATTAATAAAAAATGACTAATTCTTGTACCATTCTCTGTAATATAAATGATTGGCTTCCCATAATTTTGTTTGATGTACAACAGAAGATCCCGTATCCCTCTTGGGTAAACATATAGCCAATTTGAAGCACCCTGAGACATTATTTGAGGACATGATGTTGATTATGAGTTACAGTATTCTTTTGATTGATCAAAATTTGATGTACCGCTTCGTAATAGTATATTTAGCACTTCCTTTCGAGCAAAAACAAAATCCATCTCTATAAAAGAACAAAAGAATGCTTGATTAATTAATGTAAATGCATATTGCTATATAAGTAACGCCCTTATATATGTAATAGTGTCGGGACCCTGAAATGGATGGGATTTACAAACTCCCTCACACTTTTCCTTGCACCCACCATTGGGAGATTAATGAATTTTGAGAAGCTATAGGTTACTTGGAAATTCAAAGAATTATGGGAAGTTATTTGAGATTAGAACTAATTTTTTCAAAAACAAATAATTAAATAAGTGATGGTAGTTAATAAGAGAGTGGGGAGTTAATTATGAGTCAAATGTTGAGTATTGATTGGATGAATAAAATTAAATAAATCAAAATTGGAGAAAATTAGGAGGGAGGGGGGGGGGGGGGCTTCTAAAGGCCCTCACTCATTAATTTGTTTGTTATATTAG